GGCCACGCTGATGCACAGCTGCTGGGATGGAAGAGGCTAATTCCTGCCTCCGGGCCTGGGTTCCTCCCCTTCCCTCTCCATCTTCATCCCTTCCACTCTTTCCTACTGGTCCTTTCAGGTGCTCCTCCTGGAAGCCTTCCCCAGCATCCCAATCCAGCCCAAGAGAGGTTCATCTCTGTGCTCCCACAGCCTTTCCAGATGACCCTTCTGTCATGCCCTGAAGGGTCTCAGCAGTCAGACAATCGGGATGAGAAACAGATCCTTTGCTCTCTGTCCCCTTCTAAGTGCCCAGGTAGTGCCCTTCTCCAGGACAGCCCCCAGCACTGCCCTGGCTCTCTGTTCATTTGCTTGTCTAGGTATGTGCGCCTGCTTCTGTTTCTTTTCTCCACCCTCTAAGTTTCTTGGCAGACTGTTCCACTGTCTCTGTCACCTATGTCCATACTTTCCCTCATGCTCTTTTTTTTTTTTTTTTCCATTCATTTATCTACTTACTTGGCTGTGCCAGGTCTTAGTTGCAGCAGGATCTTCTGTCTCTGTTGTGGCAGGCAGGATCTTTAGTTGCAGCATGTGACCTCTTAGCTAGGGCATGTGGGATCTAGTTCCCTGACCAGGACTGAACCCAGGCCTCCTGCATAGGAGCACAGAGTTTTAGCCACTGAACCACCAGGGAAGTCTTCTCATGCTTTAATTTAATGCACTGTCACCTCATTCCACGAAGGACTGAAGGTGGTATCTCTGTCATGGTCTGTCTTCCTTACTCAATCCCCACACCCAGTTTCTCAGTCTTCCCCCATCTTCTCTCCATACAGCTAATCACCTTGGTACGTAGAAAGGGGGAATTCTCATTCGCTTGGAAGTGATCCCTTCTCCTTCACAGGAAGTCTGGTCCAGCAGAGTCTGAATGAGGTTCTAGGGCACAAGGCAGGCTTCCAGCCCTTCCCTACTAAGACCAGACCTGAGTGGTATGCATTCATGCATGCTAAGTTGCTGACTCTTTGTGACCCCATGGATTGTAGTCCGCCAGGCTCCTCTGTCCATGGAATTCTCTAGGCAAGAATACTGGAGTGGGTTGCCATGCCCTCCTCCAGGGGATCTTCCCAACTCAGGGACTGAACTTGCACGTCTCTTACGTCTCCTACATGGACAAGCAGGTTCTTTACCACTAGCACCACCTGGGAAACTATGGGGGCATAGAAATAAGGCCACTCTTAACCCCAGGACACTGCGTGCAGGACTGGTCAGAGGTCCCAGCACCTCTTACCTGGCCCTGCGTGGCACAGGAAATGGGAGTCTTGTACAGCGGATCTCTGGTGAACCCCATTTGTGAGCCTTTCCATTAAACCCTTCTCCCCTGCTTCTTCCATTCCCCAGCCTCATCCACCCTGCCCCGACTGCAGGGCCCAGTGTGTCCAGTCTGGGCTAGAAAGGAGTCAGCTGGGGAAGGGGGAGCCTTGAAATGGTGGTGCCGCCTCTTTCCTTCACCTGAAGCCTCCCTGGACCTCAGAGTTTCCATAAGCTTGGGATCCCAGCCAAGTCCCTGGCACTTCTGTCTAGGCAGCCTGTGGGTTCCCGGAGGATGAGACTGATCCCCCTTGGGTCTCAACGCCTATAGGTGAGCAAGGCAGGTTGTGCAGGGCCGGGACCCAGGGAAGGAAGTCCATGCATTGGCTTATCAGTGAAAAGGGTCCTGCGGTCCCGCACTGCCCACCCACCCTTCTGCCCACCTTGCCTGCCGCGGGAGCTTTATCAAGCACCAGCCCAGGGTTTCTCAAGCCAGGCCCTGCTAAGGCCGCCAACAGGGATCTGCTCTGGGCTTGGCCACCCTAGGAAGGAGCCTTGGAGGCCCCCAAGTCAGAGGACCGGGAGGCTGTAAGAGGAACCTCTCCTCTTACCCCCGCCCACCACTGCGCCCCTGCAGCCTGCCTGCCTGGCGACTGAAGGCAGGCGCCAGGCTCGAGCCGTCGGGGGCGCTGGAGTCTTCGCAGGGAATGAGGCCCCATTCCGCTCGCCCCCACCACCCAGCGGCAGCAAGTTGCAGCTCCCGGCGCCCTCGCGTCCGCCTGGGCTCTGGCCCCACGCCAGGCTGCTGGATCCATCACTGCAGTTGGCGGGAGGCCGGACGGCGCGTCCCCCGGGGCTCCCAGGCGGCTGGCGCTGTCTGCCGGGCAGGGAGGGCGGCGGCGGCGCTGCGGGGGCTGCGGTCAGCGCGGGCACAGCCGAGAGGCTGCGACTCCCGCACTAATTGGCCCTTCCCCGGCCGCTTCTGCCGGTAATTGCTGCTTTGGGGGTAGGGAGCTGGGGGTGTTGGAAGAGAGGAAGGGGCCAGCTGAATCCCGCCTGTGCGCGCCGTTCCCAGGCCAGCTTTGCAGCGGTGCGCCTTTGTGCTCACAGTGGTCCGGGAGAGCTGAGGTAAACGTGGGGAAAAGCCACAGAAGCGCCCTGGGGTTGTCACCAAGATCTAATCAATTCTGAGAAGGGCTCCCTGCGACAGGGGATTTCGGAAGGACTCTGGGTGGCCATTGGGGGATCCCAGCGAAGGCATGAAGACAGGATGGAGACAGGGCAGTCCGTTGCCTTCTCCAGCCCCTTCATCCAGCAGTGACATCCCAGAAAAGCAGGCAAGAAGGGAGGATATGAGGCAGGGACTATGGGAGGCAGGGGCGCAGCCCACCATCCAGGTTGCCCATCAGAGTTCTTGCTGGCTTGAGTTCTTAGAGAAGGTGCCAGGGTTCTCGGAATTCCTTTATGATCCTCACAGCTCCTGCAGCTGCCTGAGCCCTGGCTGTGATTCAGCTGCTCTCCCTCTGATTCCGAAGAGGATACTCTATGGGTGGGTGACTGTTCACATAAGCTCCCTTCCCAGCCCTGCATGAGAAAGCCTGAGGAGAGAACTGAGGGAGCCTCAGAAGCAGTCCTGGACCAGTCTGAGGTCAGGCCTCTGGATCCCCGGGGCAGGATGTCCTCTGTGTGTGTGTGTGTGTGTGTGTGTGTGTGTGAAACCCAGCTTGACCTCAGCCAGCATCTGCTGATTTCTGTATTGGTTGCCCAGGACCGCCCTCCAGGGGGCTGAGCTCCTAGTCCTCACTCTGGGTTTCACTGAGAAATGGCTATTTAGTCACCTATTCCCTGGTTAGAGGTAGACAGGGACTTCTGGCTATTCCTCCCCTGAAACTGGAGCTGTCACACCTCCTCTGGGGGCCACGTTCTCTCAGGGGTTGTTCCAGGTCTGGATAGAGGTGGCAGGGTGAGTCAGACAGGCCTGGATCAAATTCCCACTCTGCCACCACTATCTCATGACCTTGAGCAAGGACTTTTATGTTTCTTGTCTCAGTTTACTTGTCTGTCGAAATGGGATAATAAAATCTATGTGCCAGCATTGTCATGAAGATAAATGTTTACCCAAAAAGGGCTCTTCTCCCTCCTCCAGCCATCCCTTTGGATTGGTGGCTTAGATGTGAGGGTATGGAGGATTGGGTGTCCCTCACCCCATGGGGCTTTGCAGCCTCCAGTTGTCTCAGAGATTAAGGAAACCCTCTGGGAATAAAGAACCTAATCGACATTATAGTTTATGGCACAAAACCCATGGAACACTACACTCATGTTCAGAGCATTTTTCACAACAGCCAAAAGGTGATAACAACCCAAATGTCCATCCACAGATAAATAGAGAAACAGAATGTGGTATGTACATACAATGGAACATAATTCAGTCTTAAACAGGAATAAAACTCTGAAATATGCTACAACATGTGAAGACACGCTAAGTATAAAAAGCCAGACACGAAAGGACAAATACTGTATGATTCCATTCACACGAAGCTCCTGAAATACTCAAATTCATAGGCTAGAAAGTAGAATAGTGGGTACCAGGGTTTGGATGCATAGGAAGCTATTGTTAAATGGACACTGAGTTTCAGTTTAGGATGATAAAAAAATTCTGGAGATGGATGATGATGATGATAATGTAAATTTACTTAATGTCACTGAAATTAAAATGGTTAAAATGGTAAATTGCATGTTGTGTATATTTTCCAAAAATAAAAAAATCCATAAAAAATCCCCAAATAAAACAAAAAACCTATGGGAGGCAGTGGGTTTATGCCCAGGTTGTAAGAGAGACCAGAGAGTAAGGAGTCTGAATGCAGCACCAAGACCTCACCCAGTGGACAAGTGAGTGTGGAGTGTGGATGTCCTGAGAGGTGCACTCGAGACAGTGAAAAAAAAAAAGCCAGGTGTTCTGCAGCCCAGGCAACTTTGCAGCAGCTCTCCTTGACTGAGTGAGCAGCGCAGGCTCAGCCCAGCAGAGAGAAGCCAGTAGTGCTCCCTCCCTCCAGGGACTCAAATTGAGAAACCATCCGCTTCACCCAACTGTTTCACAGATGGACACAAATTCAGGGCAAGTCAACATGTCTTTATTAAGGACTGTCTCTGTGGCCAGGCTTTGAAGGGGCCCTGGGAAAAATCAGTATGGAAAGGGGAGAATATCCCCAGCTGTCAAAGCATCACTCCTTATAACATATAACCTGCCCAAGGCCTCAGTCCAATGTGAAAAGGCATAAGGTTGAGCAGGATGAATGGCGAACGGCAAACTGTTTGCAATGGTGGGGCAGTGGCAATCTGGGTGGATTTCCCATAAGAAGTGGCTTGAAGTTGACATTGATGGATGGGAGGATTTGGAGAAGGAAGAGAAGCATTTGTTCTGAGTCTGGGTAGCTGGGCAGAATCCGGCAGAAAGGGCCTGGACTAATCCAATGGTCAGTGAGATAGCTGGACATCATGGGATGTCAGGCTGAAGAGGGTGATTCTGGGCCCCAAACAGGCTAAGGCTCTGTCATGGAAGGAATATGGACCCTCTGCAGGACCTGGACTGGGGAGGGCAGGGTGCTTGTCCCAGATACATCCACGGTTACGGTTACTGTTCCTAAGGCCTGCATGGTGGGACAATCCCTAAGGCTCCCTCCTGCAGAGCCACTCTCAGAATTGCCTTGCTTTTCAGGTCCTTAATTCTGGTGTAGCCTCTTCCAAAAGGCCATCTTCTCCTCCCTGAGCATCACACCCACCCTTGTGGTTAAATCCAGCTGCAGGTACTTCTCATCCCTGTTGTAGCGTGGCCAGTAGGGCAGCTTCCCACCATTGGGGTTTCTGCCCGGGAGGAAGGAGAGAGGATTATTTGAGCTCATCTTCATCTTGCCTCCTTCTGTTACTTTTCCCTCATTCACTTTCCCTTTGGGAGGTAGGGTTCAAGAAGGCCTTACAGAGATGATATTTAGACAGATCTTTAAGAAAGAGGAGGAAAAGTGTGGTGGGAGGGGACTTTGAGGCAGAGGGAACTGTATGTGCAAAGGGTTGGAGGTATGAAAGCCCAGGGCTTTTGGAAGAAAGCACAAGTATAGGGTTAGGTGAAAATATAGAGTGTGTCAAGAGAATAGGTGTGGAGAGGAGATGAAACAGGAAGGATTTTGAAGACTTTTGTTCCAAGTGAAGGGGATGGGACTTTACCTGGGAACAAAGGGAAGCCATGAGGTTTTAAGTGGGTGAATTGGTCAAATGATATTTCAGAAAGATCCCTTGAGTGTCATCAGGAGAATGGAGAGAAAGGAGAGAGAACGTGGAGATGGAAACTAGTTGCAAGACTAGCCAAAGCTCAGCTCAGAAGTCATCTCTGCCAGGAAGCCGCCCCTGCCCACCCCAGGTCAGTCAGACACCTCCTCTATGCTCTCATAGTGCCTTCTGCTCCCCTAACACAATTCTCATCATGCCAGATGGTAATTTAATATTTTTGTTAACCATTAACAGGCTGCTGGCAGATGGGGATCATGTCTATGATACCCTTGAATTCCAGCTCCCAGTATTGAGCTGGCCACAAAAAAGCTCATTGGCAGTGACTGTGGAATGCTTGAGTGAATGAAGAATGTGGTCATGGGACAAAGAGAGGCACATTCTAGGGACATTTAGGCCTGGGTGCCTTTTCTATGGGACACACAAGGACAAATGTCTGAAACAGCTGACCATTGGGTCTAGCGCTGGTAGGAAGACCACCCACATGTGTTGGGGGATCAGACTCACCCTGAGCGAGCAAAGTTGGCCCAGTATTTCATCATCTGGAGGCTCAGTGCCTTCTCCTTGCTTGAGGAATGGCCTGGAGGCAGAATGGAAGGTGGTGTTTAGAACAGACCATGGGGTGGGGACATCCCACCCCACTGCTTCCATGCTGGGATGCTTTCATTTGGGAGAGTATTCCAGATTAAGAATTTGCTAGCTAACTCCCTGTGGTCAATCAGGGAGGGTGGGGTCAGAACACAAAGATGGAGAGATTAGACACCCAGTGGGGAGTCAGGTGGGGCTTCAGCACCTTTGGAGAAAGGACTCCCGAAGATGAAGCCGATCTCATCTCCGTGGTCTGCCCCATCAGTGCGGGGTTTTACGATAGTGCCAGGAGCATAGTGCTCAAACTCGTAAAGATAGACAGGGAAGCCAGCATCTAGGAACAAGGAACCCAATGAAGGCTGCTGAAAAAGTCTCAGCCTGGACTTCTCATCCACCCCACGCATCCCACCCACTTGCATCAATCAGGGGAAAGAGCTTGGGCTTCAGAATCCAGGGAGCAGATTCGAATCCTACCTACACTACTCATTAGTCATGTAACCTGGGGCAAGACACCCAACCTCTCAGAGCTGCAAGTCCTCATCTGCAGACTAGGGACATGAAAACAGTTCCAGGGATTGTGGTAAGCCTTCTTCTTCCTTCCACTGAACCTCTCCTCTCTCTATTTGGCACTTAAGGTTCTTCAGTGTCTACCTTCTCCAGCCCCTCCTTTGACCTTTCACCCATGTGTTGCCCAAGCCTGGGTCAGCCTGGGCAGGATCTCCAAGATACCCCTACAGAGGCCTGTCCTTGCAGCCAGGAGACCTTCCCTGACCACCCTAGGTTGTTTCCTCTGGGCTGGCCTTGGCCTTGCCCTCCTCAGCCCTAAGGAACAGCCTCTCTTCTCTGCAGTTGATAGCATGCTGCCTCTTCTGAGGCCACTTGGAATTCCACATCAGCCCAGAGGTACAGAGAGGGTGAGTGAGTGATTGGTCAGCCTAGTGGCAAGCAGCACCAGTGGACAGGGTGTGGCCACTCTTGACCCCACATACTGCGGTGGTAGCGGGCAGCCTGCAGTGTGGAGTACACAAAGGTAGCATCCCGAGCTAGGTCCATCACATGTTTTTGTAGCATCTTCTGGTCATGGTCATCCACATCACTCAGGTACTCCTCCATCACCAGTGGTAACTGCTCCTTGGTGACATTCTAGGTGGGGAAGTCACACCCACCCTAAGGTGTGGGGTGCCATCTGGGTCAGAGGTAAGCACACCAGTGACTTGGATCCAGGCTCAGCACCCCCAGGAGTTTTTGGCCTGGGTGGGGGGGGAATGAGGAGCCTCCTGGGAAGGTCTCCCCCTTTGACAATTCTTACCCCAGTGTTTTAGCTGCATGAGAACTGCCTGCTGTGTCCCCAAGGAAGTCTGGAGAGCCTTGCCCAGTAGCAGCCACCTGATCCCATGCAAAACCCCAGGCCCCCCCAAGGAACATCCCTGTCCTGGCAGGGAGCCCTTTGTGAAGAGCAGCCACTAGGTAAAAATAGGGAGGCTGCCTTGTCCAACCAAACAAAGCACACGTGATAGCACGGCCCCTCACCAACAGGGTGCTGATACTCCAGAGCAGCTTGATGATGGTTTCTTTCCTCAGATGGCTCATTGGAAACTTCACGATCTGCTCCACAAGGCAAGGGCCCAGGTGTAGCCCAGGCCCAAACATTAGGAAGGATTCCAGCTGTGCCACATCAGGCCCCAAGGCTCTCTCAGAGCAGGAGTACCCATGACCTTTCCCGCACTCCTGCTCCCAACCTCTCCATCACTAACTTGGTTTGGAGCTGCAGTGCGGGCTGGGAGGGCCCTCCTGAGCTCGGGCATCTGCCCTGATCCACCCGGGAGCAAGGGAGGGACCCAGGATGTACAGCCACATGATGGGGAAGGAATGGATATGAGGACCCATTCACACTATGAGCTAAGGATTTGGGGGCCCCCAAACCTCCAAGAGACCACACTTCTCTCCCTCTCATTATTCCTGTCGAGTTCTCACTGCACAGGGACTGCAGGAGGCTCCCAAACTCTTGGGCATCCCCAGAGAGACCTCCGGAATCTGATCTGGTACCCAGCACTGCTCAAAAGGCATCCTCTGCTACCCCTACTGTGATGGGCATCCCTCCTTTTCACTTACAAAAGGCAAGAGCCAGTTGAACTCCAGACTGTTGACACCCAAAAGGTAAGGCACAGGTGCAACCTGCCCCTGAATCAGGACCACAGTGGGGTTGTCTTGGAACACTACACCATCCACCACGGGGCTCATGAACCACACAACCTATAAGTCAAGGGGGTTTCCAGCCAATCCTCCCACTTACCCTCCTAGGACCCCATTGGTCTAAGATGTCAGCTCAGCAAGTTCCAGAAATTACTCTAGCTATATGTGCTTTGACTGGGAAAAAGCTGGGGCTCAGTCAACCTGGTGTGAGAGAGGATTAGCCACAGGCAGGACCAGGCTACTCAGACTCAGGATTCCCCCATCTCCCACCCCTCAGCTGACACCAAGAGGTGCTCACATAGCGCATTCTCTCATCTCTTGAAAATCTTTGCTAAGACTTCTCTTTTCCTTCTATTTAAAATCCTACCCCTCCCAACATGCCTCCCAACTCCTTACTCTCCTTCTTTTGTTTCCATTAACTTATCTCCTGAAGAAGTGAATAATTCATTTATTTATAGTGTTTATTGTCTGCCCCCAGTGGAACATCAGCCCTGTGAAGGAATTTTGGCCTGAGTATCGTAAGTGTCTGGCTCACAGGAGATGTTCAGACAGAATGGGGCCTGCTCACCTCTTGAGGGTCTTCCTGGCAGTGCAGTTTGAAGAATCTCTGTGGGAAGAGACGAGGATGGGACTAAAGGGAATCTTCTACGGCATAGTGCCTGGGGAGGCTGGGTACCAGGTCAGAAGGATGCAGGCAGCTGGGTCAGAAGCCGGAAGGAAGTTCTACCTACCATCTTCTGGGAAACACGCATCACCTCAGCCCCTGATAGTGTTCTCAGGCAGTCTATGAGAATCTTTGTGCTGTTGTGATTGCAGCCTGCCAGCTGGGCAATCTTCTGTGAAGAGAAGAGGTGCTTGGGAGTGTGCCCATCCTGCCTCCCTTGCTGAACCTTAGGAGAGAGGAGGCACTTACCTTGGCCACCTTCAGTGGATCAGGAGTGATGAAGATTTGGAGTGCTGCGGTGCCACTCTGGGAAATGGCCCGATGGAAGAGACCCCGGGCTAGGGGTGATGTCATCTGCAGGGGTTGGGGGAGTGGCAGCCATGACATACACTTGGCAAATGGGGACCACTTGGGCAGTTTGGGGTGACTTTCTGGCCTGGCTGGGCTGCTTGAAGGGGCCCAGAGAGGGCAGAAGCAAGGAGGGAGACAGGAGTTCTGGGTTGGAGTCCTAAACCTAGAGCCTGTGCCTTTCACTCTCTGGGCATCCATGTCCTGCTCTGTGGAATGGCCCCAGGGGTCCCGCAGGGTATCTGGTGTTGCTGCAGTGGTTCTGCTGGTGTAACAAACCAATAGGGGCCCCCCTCTGCTACTGGGCTAGGAATATGGGAAGGGGACCCTATGGTTCCCATGACCCCAATTACCTGCGCTGATAGCTCTTAGCCTTCCCCTGCTACCCAGGTTGGAGAAGTGAAGTGAAGTTGCTCAGTCGTGTCCGACTCTTCGTGACCCCATGGACTGTAGCCTACCAGGCTTCTCCATCCATGGGATTTTTCAGGCAAGAGTACTGGAGTGGGTTGCCATTTCGGACCCCCATCCTGTCCTGGGAACCTCAGACTTAATGTGCCCCAAACTTGCTCCAGCCACTCCCCATCTGGGTGTTGTCCCTTATCCACACCATCCACCTGGGCCTTCCCTCTCTCCTCTGGTCATCTGCATGCTGCAGTTGGCCCTGTCCTGTCTACTTGGCCTCCCGCATCACTCATCTATTGTCCATCCTTCCCGCTCCTATTTCAGAACTAGCCTCCATTAGATACACCATCCCTCACCCCAAGCTGGTCTCCAAGCCTCTGTTTGTGCTTCATTTTAACCCAGATCCAGCAGAGCCAACTCTAAAGGCACATCTGATTGTGTCACTCCCCTGCTTAAAATCTTTGCCTGCTCTCCAATGCATTTTCAATAAAGTTGCTTAACTTCTCTGGGCCTCACTTTCTTACTCTGTAGAGTGGAGAACACTTCTCTTTTTGTAGAGTGCAGAAAACGGGAATACTCCTCTTTTTGGATTGTTGAGGTAATTCAATGAATGAATACACATAAGGTGCTTAGAAAAGTGACTGGCACACAGAATGTGCTCAAGTGTTTGAGTGTTATTACTGTGGCCCACGAGGTCCTGTGTGATGTGCTCCCTGCTGACTGCCCGGCCACATGTCCCTCACAGGGCACCTGACCTACCCTCAAACTCTAGGTGAGCAGTACCCCAGAAGTCAAGGGCAAAGCCCAGTCTCTAACCTAGGCCTGACTGCTACACCTGATCTGTGGCCCCAACCCTGCCCAGAGGGCACACAGTGGTCTCTGTTTCGGGCATAGATCTCTGGGGGAATGTGGAGAGGCAAGAAGTGCTGGATGATCTTTCTGGCCCACCACAGTCATAGTCTTTGCATTGCCTTTTCTGGGCTGGCTTGGTTTCCTCCCTGAATGGAATAGATATTCTTGGCTGTGAGGGGTGGTACCCATGGCAGTGGTGCGGGCAGGTCTGTGGATTGGAATGTTCTTGTATACCCAAATCTGCACAAGTATATGTGCAGAACCCATGGGCCACGCGGTCCTGCGACTGTGCTTAGGTCTGTCTGGACATTGCACTCACCAGTCCCGAGATGCACATGGCCCCTGATGACTGGCCGAACAAAGTCACGCAGCCTGGGTCTCCGCCGAAGGCTTCGATGTTCTTCTGCACCCAGCGCAGAGCCGCAACCTGATCCAGCAGCGCCCAGTTTCCGCGCGCTTGGCTGTCCCCAGTGCTGAGCGCGCGGGGCTCACTATCAGCGTCAGGAGCCCCGACGCCTGGGTGCAGGGGAGCCCCGAGCCTTGTCCCGCCCAGTCCCTCAGAGACTAGGTCTAACCACCGCATTTCCTTCCTTATAATTGGGCACGGCCCCAGGCGGTAGCGAGTACCCACCTGTCTGCTCTAAGTATTAGACCCTCCCTGCCACGCCCCTCACGAGGACACGCCCCCATAGGCCACGCCCCCTTTCTTCCACCCAATCCTCACCTCCTCCGCCTTTAGCGCAAGAACCGAGGAGGCCCCGCCCCTGACCCCAGGCGCGGGTTTCCGGTCCCGCCCACCTGAGGAAGCCCAAGATGCCGAGTCTGTGCTGCAGAACCACGACCACCACTTTCTCCCGGGCAGCCAATTCGGAGCCATCATAAGTGGAAGCGGAACCCACGAGGAAGGCGCCTCCTGGGAACCAGATCATCACCTGGGCGAGAAGGGCTGAGGCCTGAGCGGGACAGCGGGGTGCTTGAGTGGGATGGTGAGTGGTTGAAGGCTGAGTACTCACGGGCTGCAGAGGGTCCCCGCGCGCTCGCACTGGAGCGTGCACATTCAGGTACAGACAGTCCTCACTGAAGTGCAGCCATTTATATCGTTTGTGTGTGTTGAAATACATGGAGGTGACCTGTCCCCAGGACTCCTGGAGGCACCTGTGGACACGATGTGAGTTGGGTTTCAGTGCCGTGATTATAGTGGGGAGAATGGTTTCAACCCAGGTTCCAGTAGTGAGGGACTAGAACCCAAAGCAAAATTCAGGCAACGTGTGTGTGTGTGTGTATTCTTGTCCTAGCAGTCTCCACTAACATTAGGTCCAGGGGTAAGAGGCAGGTTGGCATTCCCTGCCTTGCACCTTGCTGTGCCTGTTCCCAAGGAAGGAAGCAGTTCCCTGCTCCTGTTGGAGACCTGTTGGTGCTGTTAAGCTAGAAACCTGGGTGCCCTGGGCACCTCCTTTCTTACATGCCCTGTCCTCCCCTCAGTCTCTATTCTGACTCCAAAACAGCAGTTGAATAGGCTCCCTCTGTTCACTTCAAGGCTGCTGCCCTGTGAAGGCCACCATCACTCTGGCCAGGACTCTGCCCCTGCCTCTTCACCTCCCCTCCAACTCATCCTCCACTCCCTGGCCGGAAAGATTGACAGATAACACAAATCTGACCATGTCACTCCCCTCCTTATTACCTTCCCTGGTTCCTCCTGCCCCCAGGATAAAGTCTAGGTTCACCCACAATGTCGTAGGCTCTCCTTCCCATCTAGTCATCGCCTCCCAGTCACTCTTTGCTCCAAATACACATGACCTCTTGCCTCCCACCTCCAAGCCCCCATGCCTCTGTTCTCTCTACCAAATGCCTTCTTCTCTGCCCAGCAAGCTCCTACTCACATTTAAGGTCCAGCTTATGTGTGTGTCTGCTGGGCACTTTCTCCTCTGGGCTTCCCAAGCCTCTATACACCACTAACTATAATACTGGCTTGGAGTAATTTTGATTGGTTGTTTTTGCTTTCAAAGGGTAGGGATGGAGATGTGTTCATCTGAATCCTGGCACTTGGCCCTGTACCTATGTACTGTATGGATCTTGGGCTGTCAGGCCACCCTGCCTTTCCTCCATGCTGGCCCAGCCCTAGGGATGGCTATTCTTATAACAGATGGGGGTGGGCGCATTTGACTGGATACAGGAACCCTGTCTACCTACTCCTCTGTTCCCTTCTCTTGTGCCAGCCTGTCTTCACTGTGTGTACGTGTGTTTGTAGGTGTAAATCACCCCCACCTCCCTAACCCTAGATCATCACCTGCTCCTTTTCAGTCCTTCCCCAAGCACTTCAACATACCTTGGTCCAAACCTATCCTCTACTACCCACCTTCTCCAGCAACTAATCTCTCTCTCTCTTCCCCTCAAAGCCAAACTTTTCAATAAGTTTTCTTTCCCTCCACACCTACCAGCCTGTTCAAGATCACTGGTAGCCAACTTGTCTCTCTTTCTACCGATTGTCTTTGCTTGACTTCTCAGCAGCAGCTAACGTTGGTGTTAGGATCAGCTCAGTTCAATAGCTCAGTCATGTCCGACTTTGCAACCCCATGGACTGCAGCACGCCAGGCCTCCCTGTCCATCACCAATTCCTGGAATTTACTCATACTCATGTACATTGAATCAGTGATGCCATCCGACTATCTCGTCCTCTGTCGTCCCCTTCTCCTCCCTCCTTCAATCTTTCCCAGCATCAGGGTCTTTTTCCAATGAGTCTGTTCTTCACATCAGGTGGCCAAAGTATTGGAGTTTCAGCTTCTGCACCAGTCCTTCCAATTAATATTCAGGGCTGATTTCCTTTAGGATGGACTGGTTGGATCTACTTGCAGTCCAAGGGACTCCCAAGAGCCTTCTCCAACACCACAGTTCAAAAGCATCAATTCTTCGGCACTCAGCTTTCTTTATGCTGTCCAATAAATCACATCCAGCATCCCAGCAGGAAGGCCAGGGCTCTTAGAGCCTAGAACTGGGGTTATAAGCATTTGAGGCCTCTGTCTCCAACCTGCCACTAAAGCCATTCCCATCAAAGTCACCAATGACTTCCATCTTGCTAAATCTCTCCCATCACCTTACTTGCCCTGGTAGCCCCTCTGTATGGTTGACCATTCTCTGCTTCTTCAAAGCTTTCCTTCTCTGTTGTTGTTTAGTCACCAAGTCGTGTCTTATTCTCTGCGACCCTGTGGATTACAACACGCCAGTCTCCTCTGTCCTCCACTGTCTCCCGAAGTTTGTTCAAATTCCTGCCCGTTGAGTCAGTGATGCCATCCAACCATCTCATCCCCTGCCACCTGACTTCCTTCTCCAGGCTTCTGTAATCCCACACTCTGGTTTTCCTGCCACCTCATGGGTGACTCCTCCTCCTCTTCTTTCCGGCCTAAGCAGGAGAATGCCCCAGCCCTCAACCCTCATTTCTCTTTTCAGTCTGATTATTCTTTCCTGAGCTGATGTCCTTCAGGCCTGAGGCTTCACACCCCCGACATTCTGATGACTAGTCTCCTTCCAGCTCCCTTTGTCCAAACCATCTATTCCACATCTCCACATGGATATCTATTAGACGTGCCAAACTTAACATACCCCAAAATGAACTCTTGTTTTGCCCAAACGTGCTCTTGTCCTAGTCTTCTCCATTTAGGTAAATTGCGCCTGTATTCGCCTTGCTGCTCTGCCCCCAAACTAGTCATTATCCTTGATTATTCTTCTTTCCTTGTGACTCACATCCAATTCTCCAGAAAATCCTGTCAATTTTACCTTCAAAATAAATCTGGAGCCTGACTACTCCCACCCATCTCCACTGTAACTACCCTGGTCAGAGCCACCATCTCTGTGAGAGCTTTCTTTCTCCCTGTTCTCCCCTTAATTACCACCCACAATCTGTTCTAAGTTATCCACAAATTCTTACACCTGACACTCTGTGTTCCAAAACAGCCAGTGGCCAGTATTCCCACAACTGACACCCAGATGTTTATGCAAGGGACACCACAATCTCGAAACTCCTGATCCTCAGAGACCCAACAATGGTTTTTCCATGTTCTGTCACCTGATCCATGGAGTTCCGAATAACAGTCATCACACAATATTCAGAATGCCTAGCCTTCTCTCAGTGATGGCCAGTAGTTTAACAACCAACACCAGTGTTCCAGTAACAATCATGTTCTAACAGTGGACATCCTGTTTTTTAACAACTAAATACCCAGGTAGTTGTAGTTTTTTATATCACCTGACACCCAGGTTCTCACAGTAAACATTTTTCTAAATCCAGTAATTTATCCAACCAATGCTGAACATGTTAGTGTTCATCACAGAATATTCTGGACAGTGCGTTACTCAATGGTCTGAGTGAACAGTAAATATACTTGTTCTTGGTAAACTGCCAAGCCCAGTGCTTCAAAGGGCAGTCATTGTCCCAACATGCTCATGTGATTCAGGCCCAGCTAGGGGTTGCATTAAGACCCTGGGACATTGAAACTGCAGCTGAGTCCAGGTTTCCCCATATTCTGCAGTGAAGGGCTGGGGGTGACATGTGGCCTTCTTAGGTTCAAGCACCGAGGAAGAGGGAAGAGTTCAGGGTTCTGTGTGTGTGTGTACTGTTCCTTACACACATTTAGGGAAACTCAGCTCCCCAGCAGGTCCTAGGGGCACAGTCAGTATGCACCTCCTCTTTGCCTGGAGCCTTCCCACAAGAGAATAAAAAGCAGCCTTATCAGTGCCTTAAGTACCATTTAGACCAGCTACTTCATTATACAGGTTTGGAAACTGAGGCCCAGTATGGTCCCCAGGCTTGCCCGTGGGCACAAGTGCGCTCTTCAGTGAGTTGTTCAAACCCTGGCTCAGAAGCGGGCATGGGTTCACCGCGTTGCTTGGGATCTGCCCACCTCCCAGCCCACAGTCCTCTGGTTCTTACGCAGGGGCGTAGGTGGTGGCATCTCTGATTCCTTTCCAGGGCTCTGGGGGTTCTGGGGCAGCGAACCTGCGGGCACCCACAGGAGGTTTGGAGAAGGGAACTCCTAGGAAGACATTGATGGGCGTCTTCCCCACGTGTATCTGCTTTCCTCGGAGTGTCCCATATTTGGTATCCACTAGAGGCTCCTTGGTGTGCAAGGCACCTAGAAAGAGAAGAGAAGGGTCACCCTGGACACCAGAAACACCTTGACTCATCCGCCACAGCACCAACTTGAAGCTTTTCACAACTGTGTCATTGCTTACTTCTTTTGTGTTCCTCTTAGTAATTTTATCTAGGGTATTTGATTTAAGATATCAAAGCTATGTTTGCTTGTTTGTTTTTCCCCTTCCCGAAGCACCCCTATCATTTCTTTCTCCTCCACCCCCTTTATCAAAACTGAATTTTTCAGGAATTACCTGATGGTCCAGTGGCTAGAACTCTGCACTCTTACTGCCAGGGGCCCAGGCTCAATCCCTGGCTGGGGAACTAAGATCTCACAAGTCACATGGTCAAAAAACAAAACAAAAAGCTGAAATTTTCTGTGCCCTGGTTCCCTGGGGGCTCACCCTACAAAATGACAGAAAGCAAATCTAATCAAAATATTATCGAACTTGATTGGGCATTAGAATCCTCTGGAGGAATCATCAGGAAATTCAAATTCCTGGGTCCCATTCTACATCCTCTGAAAGAGAATCTCAGGTTGCATCAGGAAATTAGATTTACAGCCCCTTCTAGGAGATTTTGATGCAACTCATTTTTTTTTTGAATAGCATTGATATAGCTGAGTGCCAAAGAATTGATGCTTTCGAACTGTGGAACTGGAGAAGACTCTTGAGAATCCCTTGGACTGCAAGATCAAACCAGTCAATCCTAAAGGAAATCAACCCTGAATATTCATTGGAAGGACTGATGCTGAAGCTCAAGCTCCAATACTTTGGCCACCTGATGCGAAGAGCTGACTCACTGGAAAAGACCTGATGCTGGTAAAGACTAAAGGAAATAGGAGAAGGGGGTGGCAGAGGATGAGGTGGTTAGATAGCATCACTGACTCAATGGACTCAATGGACATGAATTTGAGCAAACTCTGGGAGACAGTGGAGGACAGAGGAGCCTGGCGTGCTGCAGTCAGGCAGCAAAGAGGGATCAAAAAGAGTTGGACATAAAAAAAAAAAAAAAAGAGTTGGACATGACTGAGCAACTGAATAACAACAATTGGTGTGGTCAGAACACACCCTCACACCCTAGCTGCAGGTGGCCTCTCTGCCCACGTCCTCAGGTATCTTACATGAGTAATATCTGGGCACAGAGAACTGGCCGTGATAGTGACCCTTCAAACATGGAGGTGTGTGCCAGTGGGGGCAAGGGACCATCTCAAACCTCCTCTGTGTGTGTGTGTAGTCCCTTGCAACTTACAAGGCCCTTTGTCATGGTCCTCCCATGTAGGCTTCTCAGTGGCCCTTGGAGGAGTGGGGTGGGGCCTTGAGGCCCAGAGATGGTTAGTGACCAGCTTGAGATTTCATAGGACAGAGCCAGGAGGTCAAGATCTATCATATCTCTCAGATTTGCCCTGAATTCTGGGTCCACTCATGATTGAATATCTAATGACTATGACTGACTGGTCTTTTATTATAGCTTGGCACTCTGCCAAACACTTTTATGCTATCTCACCTCATCTGCCTAAAAAAATTTATAAGGTAACTGTTTTGTATTTTCCTACTACACACATGTGGAAATGGAGGTTTAAAGTGGTATACGACTTGTCCAGGGTGACACAGACTGTCTCACATCAGAGCTCTGCTTAAACAGCAATGCTTTACTGTCCTCACCCCAGCCTCTGGGAGCACCTAAGCCTGTGAGAGTGCTCTACACCCCTGAATCGGAGCTGATGAGGTATGTTCCCGGGCCCAACTCTGCTACCCTGAGCCAATACGTAAACACTTAGGAAAACAATATTCCATGGTTTTAGAAGTCATAAAATACTAATTGAAACCAAGAGTTACAATTTCCACTTAATAAATTAAAAACAGTGGCACCTCGACTTCCCTGGCAGTTCAGTGGTTAAGACTCTGTGCTTCCAATGCAGGGGGCGGTGTGGTTCCATCCCTGGTCCCACATGCCTCCCAATCAAAAAACCAAAAACATAAAACAGAAGCAATATTGTAACAGATTCAGTAAAGACTTGAAAAACGGTCCACATCCAAAAAAAAAAGAAAAAGAAAGAAATCTTTGAAAAATGATACACTCAATTCTGGCAAAGATGCAATGAAAAGGACACCCACATATGCTGTTGGTGGAAGATAAACTGATACACCGCCTTGAAAAAATAATTTGGCAAAATGTATAAGAGCCATAAAATATTCACATGCTTTGACTCAGTAATTCCACTCTAGGTCCAACCTTATGAAACTAGTCAGAAATGTATTAAAAGAAAGACTTTATGAATTACAGTCATACTTGCCATAGTGAGGACAAGAAGCATTATTTGTATCTGGGGTTCAGGAAAAGTAAATGTAATTATGAATTCAAGTTATAAACTATGCATGATCTTAAGTGAAAAAAAAACAGAATAAAGTTGTTTAGGTGCTTATATCACAGCTATATACAAATATGCAATAAAAAGACTAACAGACAATGTGCCAGAATGCTAAAGTTGTTTTAGCAAAGTTTCAAGTTAAAAAAAAAGTTTTTTTTTTCAAGTTAAAAAAATTTTTTAATGTGGGGACTTCCCTGGCAGTCCAGTGGCTAAGACTCTGCACTTCCACTGCAGAGGGCTCAGGTTTGAGCTAAGTTCCTGCATGTAAGCTAACTTACATGCTAAGTTCCTGCATGTAACCAAGAAAAAAAAAAATCAATGTGTTAATATGGGCAAAACTAAATTATGATAGCCATCAGAATGGTGGTGGTTACTTGGAGGATATTGCCTGGGAAGGTGCATGTCAGGTGTTGGAAATGTTCTAGATCTTTTTTTGTTTTTTGGGCCTTGCCTTGTGACATGTAGGATCTTAGTTCTCCGACCAGGAATGGAACCCACCCCGCTGCATTGTAGCACAGAGTCTTAACCACTGGACCACCAGAGAAGTCCTGAAATGTTCTAGACCTTGATCTGGTTGGTGATTACACGATGATTTTACACACACACATACACTAAGATATACATATATACACACACACAGTAATATAATATTTTTAAACAGTATTAATTGTATAAAGAATGTAAGTATACAATCATAACATACAGTTATGTAGATTATAAGATATATTTTATAAAAATGTAAATATAAATGTCCATGCTCCCAGCTGCCCACCACCCCCATCCACCCAGATCTCTAAATGTCCCTACCCTGCTGCCCCCAGGAGAGGTTGAGTTGGGGACCTGTCCCCATGGCTTATGTCCCTCTTGAACCAGGGAAGGGTAGGGGCTTACCCCAGGCTATCTGCACCACCAGAAGGAGGGTGAGGCTCAAGCACAGAATCCGATTCATTCTCCGGCCAGCCAGCTCCTGCCACAGTCTGGGACGATGTCCACCCCGCAGATGTCAGATGGCGGATGTGTCTGTGGCGAGCTGGGCTGTCCGACTTTTATCTTCTTTTAATCATCAATAGAAGGTGAGAGGGTGGGAGAAATTGTAACCAGCTCTCCCATCAGCCCACAGCCGTATCTCTGCGTTGGGGTGATAAGTCACTGTCAATGGTCTTGGCTCTTTGAAAAGCTGACCAGCCTGTAACCCCTTTGCAGTTTGCTCATCTGTGCAATGGGCTTCAAGTTGAGGTAGTGGGAGTCAAGCACTGAGCACCAGTAGGTGCTAAAGTTGGAGCAGAACACCTGAGCATTTGTTTCTTAGCCCCCAGGTTTCCTCCCTGCAGATTTAAAGGCCCCACTCCCCCACCCACACACACATACACGGAGGCTTCCCTCCAGTTTGTGCAGTCCCTTTTACAGGCATTCCCTAACCCTTCTCACACATGCTGACTTTCTCAGCCAGGACCATGTGGGTCTGGAAGCAGCCATGATGTGGAAGTCCAAAACTGGGTGATGGTGGTCAGGGACCTGGGGTAACCAAATAAATATTCAAAACAAAACAAAACTACCCTATCCTTTGACTAAGAAATTTGGTCTGGGAAACCATCCAAAACACACAAAAAGTTGTTTACAGGATGAGTGTCCTATAGCCTTGTTGACGACAGCCTCACCTCAGTAAGACTGTAGGGGATGGGTGAAGAAGGATGTTACAACTACAGAATGTAACTTATGCTACACGGTCAGTAATATCATGTTCCGTGAGACTCTAGAGTAGCCAATGATTTAGCACTGGTTATGAGCCAGGCTACTGGGCTTGGATCCCAGCATTGCCACTTACAAGCTGTGTGACTCTTCTGGACTCCAGTTTCTTCATCTGTAAATTCTGCATGATAATAGTACTTACTGGGTTGTAGTGAGGGTTAAATGTGTTCATGTAGGTAAAGCACTTCAAACAGGGAAAACCCATCATCAGCTGTCATCATTAGTCCTTGGGGAAAGGCTGATGTGGTTTAATAGCTTGAAAAAGGGAGAATCTGAAATTGCATATTGAATATGACCATGGAAAGTACATGCCAAAATACTCCAAAGATGTCTAAAGTAACAGGAAGGATTGATGCCAAAATGGTGTCTGTGGTTGGCTCTGAGTTGCAGAGTCATCAATGACCTTGATTTTTTTTCCCCTTCTTTTTCCTTTAAATTTTCTGTAGTTTCTATGTTTTTTTTAGCCAGCATTATGGAGAATGCACTATCATTGTGGGGTTTAAAGAGTCAGGTATGGGAGAGAACAGGGAAGGCAAGATCAGGGAAACATGAGTTACCAGCAGCTTCATCTGGCCTGGGCCATGTTTCTCTTTCTGGATCATATTCCCCTTCTCATTACTTCGCGCTGCTGGCTGCCCCCTGTGGTCCATATGTTGCCACATCACTAGGAGTATGGAGCCTGGTTTGAGGGAAGTGACAGAGCCACTTGTTTCTGCTTCCCAGGCTCCAACAAGTTGGTTAGTTGGTGGTTTTTTTTTTTTTTTCCATTTATTTTTATTGATTGGAGGCTAATTACTATACAATATTGTAGTGGTTTTTGCCATACATTGACATGAATCAGCCATGGATTTACATGTATTCCCCATCCCGATCCCCCCTCCGGCCTCCCTCCCCATCCGATCCCTCTGGGTCTTCCCAGTGCACCAGCCCTGAGCACTCGACAAGGTTAGTTTATCTGTTTGTACTAAGCATGTGTTACTGAAAGGAAGGGCCAAGCTGGGAGGTGGAGGGGAGTGTGAGTGTGGAGGACAAGGGAAGTGGGTGGTGGAAAAGGCAGATAAGACTGTGAGTGCACCTGCCCGGCAGGCCTGGAGGTCAGTCACCTGTAGGATCCGCAGCCCAGCTGTGCAGTAACTTGGCCAGCTCTGTGTGGGCCTTAAGGACCGGTCCTGCCAACAGCTGGCTCCATTCGTGCCACCTCTCCCCAGGGAAGAAACAACCTTTCACCTGGGCCATATGGGTGGGAGTAATGCCAGGCCAGGCTTCTGAGTGGAGGACTCATGTGTGTCCCATCCAACGCCCACATAGGGCACAGGGAACATTGAGTAGGTCGCTGGGTCAGTCAGGTGGCCCTGGGAAAACACTATCTAAAGGGTAAGAACCTGAGATTCTGACATGCAATGCTAGGTGATCTTCTCCTGGGTCACCTAGCACCCTCTGTTTGGTGAGAGAAAACTGAGGCTCTATCAAAAGATGGGGAAGCCTGGTGTGCGGCAGTCCATGGGGTCACAAAGTGTCAGAAACGACCGAGTGACTGAACTGAACTGAAATGAGGCTCCATCTGGTCCATGACTGGGCTTCAAAGATGCATGACAAGTGGGGTGGGGTGTCCTGAGGGGCCAGATCACAGGATGAAGCCAAGCTCCTGATAAGAGAAGGAGCCTGTGCCTAGAGCTCTGCAGACCGGTCAGCGCGGTGCGGTCATCTCTCATCTCTGTACTGCCTGAACTACTGCAAAACTCCCCACTCTGGGCCTCACTTGCTGACAGTACTAGCTATTGGAATCCCAGTTCCTCTGCCTACATCACCCCTTAGACCCTCACTCCGGCAGCTGGAAAGCTCACTCTAGGCATGAGGGCACAGTCTGGAGGGAGGCCCACAGTACTGGGAATGGGTCCTGGCTCCATCCTCACTCTGTGTGGCCTCAGGCAAGGAGCTTCCCCTCTCTGATCCTCAGTTTCTTCCTCTGTAAAGCGGGGATCCACTCGGGACCCCAGAGGATGGCCCAAAGGTCCTATAAGACTACTCAGGACCCCGGAGGATGGTCCAGAGCCCTGAGGGAGAGAAAGGATGTGAGTGAACTTGAGCACAGAGGGAAGCTCAGCAAGGCTCCGTGGGCAGGTGAGGCCTGGCCCTCTGATTGCCTGGTGCCCTGGGCCCTAGTCAAGACCTCCAGAGTCAGAAAAGTCAGCTCAGGGACAGTAGGGAAGGGCAAGGACACCTCTAGAGAAGCTCCAGTGGGCAATGCCATCTCAAGACATGAGGAATCTGGGCTGATGGGAAAGGAAGCCCAAGGGCTGGGGCAGAGGGAGGAGGGATGTGTGGATGCCACTCTTCTCCAGTAACAGAGCTGGTATTTCTCTGCCAGGTAGCTTCCTGTTCTTGGAATGGTTTTCCCAGGGCCTGGGCAAGCTGGGTTGGGAACTGGGGTCCAGGTGGACTGGAGGGTATACATCTAAAATCCAAAAGGAGGGACTGCAGGTACAGTGGGGGAGGGGCTTGGACGACAGCTTCCCTGAGACCCTCAGGGAAGGCCAGAGACTCATTCAGAACATCACAGAGTTCCACCTGCCACCTCTTCTAGGCAGACACAGGTCCAAGAGTTATTTCAAAGTGGAAAAGCCTCATCCTAACATTATGATGGCACCCCGAATGTCTCCTAGTTCTTCTGTCTTTGAACTGTGATTGAGGGAGCCATAAGCTTTTTTCAGACAGTGCAGTTGAAATCTGTGTCCACACCTACACCAGGGGGAAATTGTTGAGCACTTGCTGTGTGTCAGGCACTATTCCAGGCACTTTGCAGCTAATTATCATTCAGTCCTCATAGCGGATCCATGAAGGGGGAAAACACTATAATTATCCCCATTTTACGGATGGGAAAACTAAGGAACAAAGAAACTAAATAACTTGCTCATACATATCTAGTAAATTGCTGAGCTGTATTGGAACCCTATTAGTGAGGGTATGTGTGTGTGGATGTATGTGTGTGTGTGACTGGCGCTGGGTATGAACACACTTGTCTGCATCTACTGGGAGTGTCTACCAATCTCTTATTGGGTGGCTGGGTCCAGGTGTGCACGTTCGATCCTGCAAGTACCCACTGGTGCTCACACACTCACACTGCTCACTGGGTCCTTCCCGTCACCCTGCCTTGGGGAGGCCCCCTGGGTCCACCAGTCCCTGCCCTGCAGGGCCTGGTCCTTCTGAATTTGTGGGTGCCCCTGGCTTGCTCCTTACACTCTGGGTCCTGGGGCTGGACCATCAGTGGATGGAGGATGTGCTGCCAGCAGGGGAGGGGAGTTCCATGAGTAGTGGCCCAGGGAAGTGAGAGCAGAGAGGCCAGAAGACTGGAATCCTAGGAGGACCCTCTTCTCTGGCACTGCCCCCCCCTCGACCCCAAGCCACTGGGACCATGCCAAGCCATTCCTCTCCCTCCCATGGACAGAAAACCCTAGAAGTTGGGGGAAGGAGGAGAAGAAGGGGGAAAGTTGACCTGGGGCATGGTCTGACGCCTCACCAGCAGGCTCGCCCACCCTCCTCGGAGCTTTCTGGAAAGTGGTATGTGCCCCCAACCCCGCACATCCCCGTGGCTGCCAGGTGTGGTGTGCCCTCAGACCTGGAGGAAGAGGCCTGTCTGTACCTCCAGCATGGTCTAAACCCACCCCTTGATTCCCAACCCGGTCCTGCTTGCCCTCAGGCAACCCCCCACCCTCCAGGAGTCTTCCTTTTCTCACCTTCTTGTCCCCTCAATTACCACGTCAGCCTGTTGCTTCTAAACCTAGAGCCCACTGGTGCCTTCTGTCCCGCCCCAGAAGCCTGCACTGGCCCGCTTCTTGCTCTCCCTGTCCCCTCTTTCATCACCACCCCCAACCCATTCATGTCACACACCCCCACCTGATTAAACCTTTCCCAGGCTCTCTGTTACCCTCTAGTCCAGGCCCCTAGTCCAGCCTGCATGGCTGCTCCCAGTCTGGTCTTTGCTGGCCTCTTTGCTGACATACAGAACTATGTTTTCTCAGCACATGTCAACCTCCAGCCCTTTGTTCCTGCTGTTCCATTGGCCAGGAATGCCCTCTTCCCTGCTCCCACCACTCAAGCCTACCCCCCTGGCCTGAGCCACTTCTGCTGGTCCTTCTGGTGTCAGCTTAGATGTCCTGCCTTCCTTGTCCCCCAAGTCAGGCCAGTCTATGCCTCTGTGTCCCTATAGCCCTTTGTGTCTCCAGTAACACACTGTGGAATTGGAGCCTATTTAAGATCATGGCATCTGGTCCCATCACTTCATGGCAAATAGATGGGGAAACAGTGGACGCAGTGGCTGACTTTATTTTTCTGGGCTCCAAAATCATTGCAGATGGTGATTGCAGCCATGAAGTTAAAATACGCTTACTCCTTGGAAGGAAAGTTATGACCAACCTAGACAGCATATTGAAAAGCAGAGACATTACTTTGTCAACAAAGGTCTGTCTAGTCAAGGCTATGGTTTTTCCAGTGGTCATGTATGGATGTGAGAGTTGGACTGTGAAGAAAGCTGAGCGCCGAAACATGGATGCTTCTGAACTGTGGTGCTGGAGAAGACTCCAACACCACACTCTCCTGAGAGTCCCTTGGACTGCAAGGAGATCCAACCAGTCCATCCTAAAGGAGATTGGTCCTGGGTGTTCACTGGAAGGACTGATGTTGAAGCTGAAACTCCAATACTTTGGCCACTTCATGCAAAGAACTGACTCGTTTGAAAAGACCCTGATGCTGGGAAAGATGGAGGGCAGGAGGAGAAGGGGATGACAGAGGATGAGATGGTTGGATGTCATCACCGACTCAGTGGACATGGGTTTGGGTGGATTCTGTGAGTTGGAGATGGACAGGGAGGCCTGGTGTGCTGCGTTTCATGGGGTGGCAAAGAGTTGGACATGATTGAGCGACTGAACTGAACTGAACTACCTGTCAGACTCTCTTACCAGCTTATGGGGACAAGGGGATGAGAACAGGAGTCCTTCAATGCCGTGTAAAGAGCTTGAACTTGCCTCAAGGGCGGCAGGGAGCTTTAGGGTAGCCGAGCAGCACGACTTGCTCTTTGGTAAGTGACTCTTTTCTGCCCCAAATGGACTTCCCAAAACAGAACTTCCCAGGTGGTGCAAGTGGTAAAGAATCCACCTGCCAATGCAGGAGACACAAGAGACATGGATTTGATCCCTGCGTCGGGAAGATCCTCTGGAGGAGGGCGTGGCAACCCATTCCAATATTCTTGCCTGGAGAACCCCATGGACAAAGGAGCGTGGAGAGCTACAGTCCATGGGGTTGCAAAGAGTTGGACATGATTAAAACGACTTAGCATGCATGCACAAAACAGAATTGGTCTCAACTGCAGGTAGTTTTCATTCAATCAGCAGCAGCCAGGAACTTAGTCTGACTGAGGAAGGGTGTATGTGGGACCAGAGTTGGTGGGATGAGATAGTGGGCGGAGGGGAAGTCATTGTGTTTGTATTAAAATCCAGATGTCTCAAGGGAAGGATATATTGATCCTCAAAAACAAACAAAAGAAAGAAATGTGTGCCCCACTCAAAAACCTCTGGCTGCTTTTCACCTGTTGTTGCCTGAGAGGGCAGACCTGGTCTTCTCTCTCTGACACCAGCCTGACTGATGCACTAGTCCAGACACCCACCCCCAGCCTGTTCTCCCGTGTCCTGGTGGTGCCCTGAGAACTGTGCAGCCCCAGAAGTTAGTCTCCCCAGCTGGAGGGAGAAGAAGGAGCCCAGGCAGGCCATAAGCGGGTGAGGTACTAGGGCTGGGAAGCTTGCATCTCACGTCCAAGGGTCAAGGTCCTGGCCCTGCTGGACCCTGCTCTGTCTTGGCAAGGGCCAAGACTGGGCAGCATGGACAAAGGGACCCCAGCCCTAGTCAGAGGCCTCTGAGATCAGTTGTCAGCTGGATCCCCTGAGGCCTCAGGACCCACCCTCTCCAACCCCAGGTCTCTGCCACGAGAGTCCACCCACCCTTCTGATTGGAGAGGACAACATTTGTCCAGAACTAAGCAGAGCTTTGGTGCCTAAAGGGCCTGGGTCCACGTGCAACAGTCCCCATCCTCATACTTTCTCAGTCTCTCACTCAGCAAGCATCTTTTGACCCCAGGTCCTGCCTGATCCTGGTATGGGAGATGCAGAGTGGGGTCAGGCTGATTTCCACTCTCAGACAGCTTCTGAGAGGGGAAGAGGAACACTGACACCAACGGTGCTAGCCGAGAGTGGGATACACTGTCATAGACAGAGCTTGGGCCAGGCCCAGAGAAGGCAGGGAAGACTTTCCGGAGGAGGATCCTCTGGGGAGCTTGAGGTATGAGCTGGAACTTTCCATGGAGCAAGTGGGAAGAGGGAGAAGTTTGGGCAAAATCCCCCTAGATGAGAAGCAGGCAACATCTCACAGGAGTCTCAGAGGGGCTGATGTTTTAATGCGGCAAGCAGTCTCTGACGTTTTTGGCACCAGGGACTGGTTTTGTAGAAGACAATTTTTCCATCGACTGGGGAGGGGGAAACGGTTTCAGGATGAGTCAAGTGTATTACATTTATTGTGCACTTTATTTCTATTATTATGACATCAGCCCCACCTCAGATCATCATTAGATCCCAGGCATTAGATCCCAGAGGTTGGGGACCCCTGCTTTAAGAGATATGACTGCCCATCAGCCTGGTTTGGGTTAAAGTCTCTTAGCAGTGAGAGGGGGCTTCCTAAATGGCGCTAGAGGTAAAGAACCTGCCTCCTCATGCAGGAGATGTAAGAGACCCAGGTTTGATCCTTGGGTCAGGAAGATCCCCTGGAGGAAGGCATGGCAACACGCTCCAGTATTCTTGCCTGGAGAATCCCAGGGACAGAGGAGCCTGGCGGGCTACAGTCCATGGGGGTTGCAAAAGAGTCAGACATGACTGAAGTGATTTAGCACATAGCAGAGAAGGGAGAGAAGGAGGCTGCCCGCCTGGGATGTGGCCACCCCTAGGGCTGAGCTCCAGCCCAGAAGGCCCAGGGCCTGCCTCAGAGTTCCTCCTGGGCCTTCCTGCCCTTCTGCTTATGCTGCCACCGCCCAAACTTGGTGGGCAGTATCTCTGCCCAGAGCTGCATTCGGGTTGGCTTCTGGTTGACCCGTGGCACCAGGTTGATTTCCAGGTATTCCTCTGCATGGTTGAATGGGGGCCAAAGAGGCAGCCCCTTGCCATTGGGGTCCCTGGGTGGGAGGAATGAATGAATGAAGACCAAGGCCTCCTGTATTGCTCCCAGGCAGGCAGCTCTAAGTAGTCCTAGGCCCAAAGCCAGGCAGGCCTGTTTGCTTACTCACCCTGTCCAGGCAAAGTTGGCCCACTGGGCCATCATGGTGAGGCTCAGTTGCTGCTCCTCCTCCGTGGCTTCTGGAAAGGCTGTGGGAAGGACAGACTTGGATCAGGATCAGGGGGTTCCTGAAGGAGACTCCAGCATCCCTTATGCTGACCTGAGACCTCTGTTCCTACAAGCCCTGCTCCTCCCCTGATGGAGCCAGAAACCTAAGGATTACTGGTCCGTCCATCCTCACCCAACATGGAGCTCTCATCCGTGAGGAAAGGACCGCCGAACATGAAGGTCAACTCAGCCGCATGATCAGCCCGCACCCAGGCTGGCTTGATCTTTACAAAAGAACTGGGTCGATGCTGGAACTCATAGGAAAAGATGGAGACCCCAGAATCTGTGGAGAGAGGGCTGCATGAGAGATGGTCACCCACAGCCTGATCAGGCACTATCTTTGCTAAGCCAGGCTCACCATAACACCAATACCAGTGATAATAATGATGATGACAAAATGATGAACAGCAAGACTTTACTGAGTACTTGCTAGATCTTCAGCACCAGTCATCATTCAGTTCATCCTCATAATAACCTACGAATTAGATCATTATGCATTATGATTGCCATTTTATTTCTTTAAATTTTTATTTATTTGGCTGCACCGAATTTTGTTGTGGCATGTAGGATCGTTAGTTCCCCCCGAACCAGGGATTGAACCCAGGTCCCCAGCATTGGGAGCCTGGAATCTTAGCCACTGGACCATCAGGGAAGCCCCTACTCTAGCCATTTTAGAAATGAGAAAATGAGGCCCAGAAGGGTTATGTATCTTCCCAAGGGGTCACAAAGACAGGAACCCAGAACTGTTCTAGGACTATGTTAGGGTTTAGCCACAACAGGGGTCTGCAATCTCCAGGATTGAATGCCTGATGATTTGAGGTGGAGCTGATGTCATAATAAATAGAAATAAAGTGTACAATAAATGTAATGTGCTTGAGTCATCCTGAAACCATCCCCCTCTCACTCCTGGTCTATGGAAAAATTGTCTTCCATTAAAACAGTCCCTGGAGCCAAAGAGGTTGGGGACTGCTGAGCCATGAAGCTCAGAGGAAGCAAGACTTTTCTCCCAGGAGGAAGGCTGAAAGCAGAAAAAATCACTCATGAATCAATTGAATCCCAGAGAATTATTGATAAGCCCTGCTGGGCAACCTCTGACAGGTCACTGCACCTCTCTGTGCCTTGGTTTTCTCTTCTGCAGAGTGTCCTGCCAGAGTCACCTCTTCTTGTTGTGACACTGCATCTCAGAGAGGAAGTGGTGAGTGGGAGAAGCAGTGGAGCGTGAGGCCATGTCACCCGTGAGAGCTCAGGTCCTGGGCTCAAGTGGGAAGGGTGGGACAGCTTAGACAGTGATAGGCTTACCTTGGAGGTCTCTCACAAATTGCAACATGGGTAAGGTTATGATAATGTCACTTAGCAATTCCTGGAAGCCTTCTCGCTTGGCTTGTCCATCTGAGCTGCTGCCTAGGTATTCCTTTATGATGGTGGGCATAACCTCAGTGAGCACATCCTAGGGTGAGAGGCCTTGTCAGATCCCACAGCCATGGCAGACCCTTCCAAGAAGTCCTGCATCCTCCTGTCTGGCCTTTTTCATGTCCCAGGGCTCATGTGCCAGGAGGCTAGCCACCTGCCTTCCTTGTGGGTTCTAGATGATATCTGGGTGGGAAGAGGTCAATTCTGGAGTTAAATGCTAGCTCTGCAATCATTGTGATTGATTGGCTGTGTGACCTCAGACAGGTTGCTGAACCTCTCTGAAAGTCAGTTCCTCCCTGGAAGGTGGTTTGGCAGCCTATGTGAATCACAGAGTTCTGGCCTAGAGCAGGCACTCAGTTGAAGTTAACTAGGAAGTTAGTGGAAGAATGAATCATGGGACTTCCCCACAGCTCCAGAGAGCAGTGCTGCGGTTGTGTGAGGGAGGAGGGATCTAGGGAGTCTCCAAGGAAGGAAATGTACATTGATTGAGCACCTCCTGGATACCAGTTCCCTAGGAGACTCTTCCAATACAGCATCCAGTATCTTTCTTAAACAGCTCACATGGGTGGGAAGTAGCATTCTTATTTATGAGTGAAGAAATGGAAGGTTAATTGTGGACAAGCAGCCAGGGTCAGGATTTGACCCCAGGTCCACCTGGTTTCAGGCATCCCAGGAGGTGCTAGTGGCAAAGAACCTGCCTGCCAATTCAGGAGACTTAAGAGACGCGAATTCGATCCCTGGGTCAGGAAGATCCCCTGGAGGAGGGCATGGCACCCACTCCAGTATTCTTGCCTGGAGAATCCCAGAGACAGAGGAGCCTGGCAGACTATAGTCCATAGGGTTGCATAGAGTCGGACACGACTGAGCGACTTAGCACTCACGCACCACCTGGTTTCAAGTCTGACAGTGCCATCTTAAGCTCTGAGATCAGATGACTGGCACAAGCTCTGCCTCTGCCCTTTACCCACCTCGAGGCCTTCAGCCTCAGTTTCCTCATCTGTAACATGAGGATAATGAAAGTCCCTGCTTCACAAAGTTATAATGAGGATTGGAGGATTCGAATGCCTGTCCCAGTGCTCAGCACAGCACAGTTCCTGGCAGAGAGTGTGTGCTCATTATGGGTAGTCTGTGATAAAAATGATGTGGTGGTAATCTTCCTTTGAGAACCATGTTGTGTCATGTCCAAGGGGATTCCTAGACAGAACTAAAATCTGACAGTTGCCCCCCAGGCTTGGTGGCAGGTAGGGAGCTGGGTGTTGGAGGGTAGAGGGTAGAGACTGTGTTGGGTTCGGCCCCACTGGACTACCCGTTCCTGCCTTTTTCTCACCATATTGGTCAAGAAGGGCCTCAGGATGGCCAGCATGTCCTCCAGGCTCAGTTGATCCATCTTCTCCAGGAAACCCCAGCCCTGTGCAGACACCAAGACCCTCTCAGTACAGCCTCATCACGGCCCATGCCCCTCACCCTCACCTTCCCAGCCAGCGCCCAGTTTGGAGCAGGCCAGTGTTCACAGCCCTGGGACCATGAGCTCATTATAGAGCCGAGTGTGGCCAAACCCACTAGCCTGAAGACCTCCCTAAAAATAAACTTCTAATTTATGAGGGAGGGAAAAGCATCAAATACAACAAGCAAGTGGTTAATAGCAGTTTCGGAATTTGTTCAATATTTTCATAGAATACCATCAAGACCCCCTGGTCCTGTAGCAGGGGTTACAAAGAAAGTTCAAGTGTCTTTAAAATTAAATGTTGGGAATTCCCTGGTGGTCCAATGGCTAAGACTCTGCACTCCCATTACAGGGGGCCTGGGTTCAATCCCTATTCAGGGAACTAGATCCCACATGCCACAACTAAGACCCTATGCAACCAAATAAATAAAAATAAATATTTAAAAAAATAAAATTAAATTAAATTAAATTAAATGTTGACTTTAGGAACTTCTCTGGTGGTCTGGTGACTAAGACTCTGGAGAAAGAAATGGCAACCTACTCCAGTACCCTTTCCTGGGAAATCCCATGGACAGAGGAGCCTGGCAGGCTCTATGGGGTCACAAAGAGTCAGACGCGACTGAGCACAGAGCACTGTCTAGTATGTCTAGAGTCCTTGTAAAAGGGGGAGATTTGGACACAGAGATAGATGGATCAGAGGGAAAGCAACATGAAGCCAGAGAGAGAAAGCCATCTATAAGCCAAAGAATACATGAGGCCAACGGAAACATTAAAAAGAGGCATGGATTCTCTCTCACAACACTCAGAAGGAACCAACCTTGCTCACATCTTGATTTCAGACTTGTAGCCTCCAGAACTGTGAGACACTTAATGTCCATTGTTTGAGCCACTCATATTGTGGTTCTTTGTTATGGCAACTCTGACAAAATAATATAGCGATCTTGAAAAAGAACAGAGTTGAGAAATTCACACTTCCCAATTTTAACACTTACTATAATTCTGCTGTAATCAAGATGCTATGGCAGTGGCATAAGGATAAATTAATGGAGTAGAATTCAAAGTCCAGAAATAGACTCCTTCATTCATGACCAACTGATTTTCAATAAGGGCAACAAGACAGTTCAATAAGAAAAGAATAGTTTTTTTCAACAGATCATGCAGGGACAAGAAGATACCACATGCAAAAGAGCCCATAGCTCACACCATATACAAAAATTAACTTGAAATGAATCTAGACCTAAATATAACAGCTAAAACTATAAAATTCTGAGAAATAATCATAGAGGGAAGTCTTTATGACCTTGGGTTTAGCAATCATTTCTTAGGTATGACCAAAAAAAAGGGCAAGCAACAAAAAAAACAGATAAACTTCATCAAATTTTTTTCTTAATTGTGTTGCAAAGGATCCTGTCAACAATGTGAAAATACAATCCACAAAATGGGAAAAATATTTGAAAATCATATATCTGATAAGGGATGTCTATCTGGAATATATGAAAAATTTTACAACTCAACAATAAAAAGATAAATAATTCGATTTTAAAATGGGCAAAACAGAAGACAGTTCTCCAAAGAAAATACTAAAATGGCCAATAAGCACATGAAAAGATGTTCACCATTTTAGTCACTAGGGAAGTGCAACTCAAAACCACAATGAGATACCACTTCACACCCACTGGGATGACTACAATCAAAACAAAAGATATTAACAAGCATTGGCAAGGATGTGGAGGAATTGAAATCCTTACACACTGCTGGTGAAATACAAAGTGATGCAGCTACTTTGGAAAATAGTTCAGCAGTTCCTGAAATGATTTAGCATAGACTTACTCTGTGACCCAGTGGTTCTATCCCTGAGTATATAACCAAGAAGTATATAACCAAGTATATAACCAATTAAGGCATGTGTTTGCACAAAAACTGGTACATGAACGTTCACAGTCGGGGAATCCATAAGAACCAAAAAGGTGGAAGCAACCCAACTGTCTGTCAACTGATGAATGGATAAACAAATGTGGTATATCCATACACTGAACTATTCAGCTATAAAAAAGAGGGAAGTACTGATATCCACTACAATATAGATGGCCCTTGAAAACATTATATTAGGTGAAAGAAGTCAGACACAAAACCCCACATATTGTACGATTTTATTATATGAAATGTCCAGAAGAGGCAAATCCATAGATTTGACAGAAAGCAGATCAGAGACAGAAAGTAGATTTGTGGTTGCCAAGTGCTGGGGTGTGGGGCATGGGGAGAGATGGGAAGTGACAGCTCAATGGGTATGGGCTTCTTTCTGCGTGATGGTGAGGCAAATGTTCTGGAATAAGATATGGTGATGGCTGCACAGCTTTGTGAGTGTACTAAGAACCACTGAACTTTTATGCTATGTAAATCATATTTTTTTTAAGTTGACATTTGAAAAATTGTACTCTCCAAATGCTGGCAAGTTTGCAAGAAATCCTGTAGACTCCAGGGACTTCACTGGCGGTCAAGTGGTTAGGACTCTGTGCTTCCACTGCAAGGGGCATGGGTTTGATTCCTAGTCGGGGAACTAAGATCCCACAAGCCTCACAGCAGTCAAACAAAATGAAACAAAACCAAACAAAAAACCTGTAGACATTGCTGGTGGCAGTTTGAATCAGTGGAGTAATTTCAGAAAGTGCTGTACCAATAGCAACATGTAAGGAGTGGAGAGGTTTCCGTTAGGCATACGGATTACTTTCCATGACTAAAGCTTTCACCATGGATACTTAGTAAACATCTGCTGCTGCTAAGTCGCTTCAGTCGTGCTCGACCCTGTGCGACCCCATAGATGGCAGCCCACCAGGCTCCCCCATCCCTGGGATTCTCCAGGCAAGAACACTCTAGTGGGTTGCCATTTCCTTCTCCATTAGTAAACATCTAGTTGGCTGAAAATGTTATGGTTGTGCTCCTATGGAGAATGGAGGGAATGCCTGTACTAGTGATGGGGTGAGCAGCCCTCTGAGTCACCAACTCTGAGCAATATCTTTAGCCACAAAGTCCTGGGCACAGCGTTCCACACCAGACAGGTTTGCCCGTGTCTTGGGAGCCAGCCAAGTCAGCTCCCTTTCACTGTTAACACTCACAACTCAAAGTTGCAAGTGTGGGGGCAATTGCCTACCAGAGTCCAGGGCACTGTTTCCCCTTAACACTTTTCTGCTATCACACACACACACAAACACACACACACACACACAACCCTGGACTGTAAACTCCTACAAACTTCAGTGAGTATCAGCATTGCTTAAGGCTTTCATCTAACAAGCACCCAAATGTGCCCCTGGGGATTAAATACAAGGAAATAAGTCAGAGGACAAAAGCTGTGGACATGAAGACGTTAACTGCAATATTAGCTTCAGTGATTAAAATGAGAAGCTGCTGAAGTGATGACATGAAGGAAAATTATGAGACGACCCTTTCTTTGTGGAAGGTTTTGCAGGCATTAAATTCATTAATTGTGAAGATGGGCGAAAGAGTGACAATGAAATATGAGAAGATGCTTAGAAGGAAGGTATGATGGTGACACTCTGTGTGGGGTGTTCTGTGCCCCTGAAAAGGACTGGAAGGCATGTGGGCCATGATGTCTCCCAGTGACTTGACACTGTCAGAAACCTGGGAACTCTCGGTTGCTTGGTCCCTCAGGTACAGAGTCACACAAACTAGTCTCATAGAGCCTGATTTACAAGCCAGACACCAAGGCAGAAATATGCCATGGATCAGTACTGCCTAGAAAGTACAAAAATGTGGTCCCTAAGAAGGAAATATTTGCTTTGAGAAAATGAAACTGGGTCAGCCTCTGCTTTCTCACCTATGAGACAGAAGGGTCTGAACTCACAGCACATGGAGATGATGTCGGGGCAGGGAGGACCTTGACGGGTACACTCACCCTGGGGATGAGCCAGCCAAACTCGTGGTTGTTGACTCCGAAGAGGAAGGGCACAGAGTGGAACTGCCTCTCCCTCAGGAGCTCCTCAGGGCTCTTGTGAAAGAAGGTGCCATCGATGTTGTACCTAGCTATTTTTATCTGCAGGAGAAAACAAGGCAGAGAGCCTCCCAGTCAGGCCCTCAACAGATGGGACCCTAGAGATCCCTCGGCTGCTTGCCTGGGTGGCTGAGCCTTAAGAAGAGAGGGGATGAGATCACCAAGGCGAGAAGACTGGAGGGAGTCGGGAGACCAGGCCCATGATGCTTCTAAGTCGTCTTCTTTGCTATAAGACCCTCAGGACTGGGGTGGCCTTCCTCCTCATGCCCCCAGACCCTTAGCCTCCTGGGTAGCTGCCTCACCCCACACTGCTGATTGCCCCTCTGCTCCTGCAGGCTCTGGACAGAATCCCCTCTGTGTCACTGCCCACTGCCGGTCCCCAAGAAGTGAGCATACTGGCTTGTAGGCAAGGATTAGCTCCTTGCTTGTCTTCTGCCGAAGGCACTGCACCATCTCAGCCGAGGAGTCAGAGTTGCAGTCCAAGGAGTCTGCGAGGGTCTGGGGACAGACAAAAGTGTCTTGACTCCCTCTTGGCCATCAGTGCCCACTGCCAGCCCTCTGCCTCCCACAGAGAGAGGACGAATTTGTAGGAGAACCAGGGCAATGATGTAAGAGACAGGACCTTGACACTGGCCAGAGATCTACCACCAACTCAGATAAGCCTTCCTTGCCCACCAGCTTGAGTGGTCCCCAGGCACCCCAGGTGTCCCCCATCATGTCATTACTGTCATTATCTGTGTGTGTGTGTGTGTGTGTCTGGGTCCCCTCTACTCCTGTGAGAACAGTGTCATTACCTAATTAACTCTAGTCCCAGAGTCAGTGGACTCAAAAAAGTTCTGTGGAGTAAGGGAAGGAGGTGATGCTAGTTGTAAAGAGCTTGTCTGCCAGTGCAGGAGATGTAAGAGACATGGGTTCGATCGCTAAGTCTGGGACGATCCCCTGGAGGAGGGTACGGCAATCCACTCCAGTATTATTGCCTGGAGACTCCCATGGACAGAGGAGCCTGGCGGGCTACAGTCCACAGGGTCGCAAAGGGTTGGACAAAACTGAGGTGATTTGGTACGCAGGCACGCAAGGAAAGGAGAGAGGGTTTAGGTGGGGAGGGAGTCATGTGTGCGCTACTCTGGCAGGGAGGGGACCATGGTTGGTGCCGAGGCTGGAGCAGGGTCAGGTAGCCTGTGAGGCTGGAGGGATGGCTTCTGGGACCATGCCACACCCTGGGAACTCTGGCAGTTTTCCCTGAGTTCTCACTGGTTGTGTGCTTCCTTCAGCCTAGTGTGTCCCTCTCTGCCAGCAAGGAGCTGGCTGGTGGTAACACCTCCACCCTGGGACTCCCAAGTGCAAGCATAGGGCAGGTGTACATGGGGTGAGAGAGTGAAAGAAATGCAGACCTGAGCCAGGAGCCAGGGGTCAGTATCCAGAAAAGTCGGTAGGGTGATGACTCCACTCTGTGCTATAGCTCTGTGGAACAGCCCCGCAGCCAGCGGGGACAGGACCTGGGGGTAGTGTGGAGGACAGATGGCTGTCAGAGGAGGGCAGAAGATCTGAGAGGTCTGGTACCACAGGAAACACCATTGCTGGTTCCCTCCCAGGGGTGACTCACCAGGGCAGAGACAATACAGGCCCCACTGGATCCACCAAAGATGGTGACAGAGTTGAAGTCACCCCCAAAGGGAGTGATATTCCCCTGCACCCAGCGCAGAGCAGCCACGGCGTCAAGGAATCCCCAGTTGCCAGGAGCGTGCTTATCCCCAGTGCTGGCGATTGGATGGGGCAGTGGTTAGGGCCGGCTGGATCCCCTGACAGATCTTCCTCAGCCTCTGAAGTTTTGCTCTGAATCAGCCCCTGGGATGCCCCACCTTCCCTTGCTCCTCAGTCTGGTCTGGCTATGAGCGATGCCCAGTATGCGGGATGGGTGGGCCTGACTGGGCAACCCTCCAGTTCTGGCTCTCCAGTGCCTTCTGGAATGTGTTGTTCCTTGACCCTACGGACTCTGTTGGCCCATAGGCCAGGAGCCAAATTCTTGTGCCCAAAGGTCCAAGTTCCACTGTCAAACCCAGGCTTTGGCTGAGCCCTTCCCCCAAGGGGGTGGAGCCTCAGCTGACTGTGCTCTGCCCAGCACCCTGCTTGCCTGGGACCGGGTCTCCCTTCGAGCTCCGGACCCTCACCCTGTGCAGTCACTGCCCTCCGCCAGGCGTGCTGCCTCACCTGAAAAAGCCAAGGAAGCCCAGGCGGTACTGGACTGTGACCACGACCACGTCCCCGTAGGCGGCCAGGGCGGACCCATCGTGGGAGGTGGCAGTGCCAGTCACGAGAGAGCCCCCGTGGAACCACACCATGACCTGTAGACACGGCCATAGGTCAGTGATCCTGGCTGCCCACTGACTGGCTCAGGGCATTCTGGGGACTCCTGGAGCGCTTTCGGAGCAGGGGTGGGGAGGGATCAGGCCTGGCCTCGCTGGCTGGGTGGACAGGGCCCTCTGGGCAGCTCACCGGCCTTCCTGCCCCCGAGGGGGCCTCAGCCGGGCTGTAGATGTTGAGGATCAGGCAGTCCTCCGAAATGGGGAAGGTCTGGTGCTTTCCGTCCAGCGTAAATCTGCTGTTGTTCATTCTCTCCAGATCCTGCGGACAGCTGTGGCGGAGGAGGAGCCCGAGGGCCAGTGGGTCAGCCCCACCAGCCCAGGCAGGTGGACCCCTGGCACCTGCTTGCCTGCCCACCTCAGCGGGGCTACTCACATGGCGTGGGCCCTGCTGGCATCTCGCACGCCCTCCCAAGACTTCGCTGGGCGCGGGGCCGAGAACCGGTGGGGCCCCAGGGGCGGCTGGGCGAATGGAATGCCCAAGAAGACGTTCACAAGACGGTCTGTGCCCTTCACGCCCACCTGCCGGCCTCGCACACGGCCCAGGGGTGTGTCCACTTCAGGCTGAGTGACCCCCGGCCCTGAGGGCAGGACAGAGGGGCTGTGGGTGAGTGTGCATGGGGTGGCAGATGGACCCACTAGTTCTACTCTGAGCACCTCCTCTGCCAGGCCGGGTTCTGAGCACTCTGATGAACTGCCCCAGCATGCCTGTGAAACGGGTCTTGTGACTACCCCCCAAATCCTCTCCCCACCTCTCCTCCAGGTTGAGTCAGCTTCCCCTAGTGAACAAGCTAAACCCCCCTGCGACCCACGGACCTGCCAGGTGGGCGGTGGGTGGAGGAAGCCGGCCACTTGCCCTCTCACCTGCTAAATAAGGTGTGACAACCTTATCTTTTTTTTTTCCTGTTCTGATATTTTGACATCTGGCTTGCTGGCCCTGCCCTCTCAGGGCTAGCCGGTTCTTAGAGATGGTAAACCACTCACTGAGACGTGCCTTTCACAGTCCATCCAGAGGCCATGCTCCCGTCCACCTCTGGGCACCCTCGTACTCCTGGCAACTAACCACCTGCCCCAATCAATGCAAGGCCAGGTCCTGGACATCTAGGGACAGCCCCATGCCCCAGAACCTACTGAAACCATTCCAATGAGCTAACCCAGACCTGTTCTGCCTGTCTCGCCTGTTGCTCCCACAGGGAACAACAATGAAAGTTGTCATCCACATCCCTCCCCCGCCCCCTGCTCATTTCCTCTGCCTCCTGAGGGACCGGACCCCTGCTTCCCTGAGTGGCCCTGTTAGAAACAGGGAATGGCAAGTAAACTTTCTTTCTCATGATGATCATTTCTATGTCTGTGTCTTACTGATTAAATGAAATCCTAGGAACTCTTAAAAACATGACAAATTGCACTTAAACATGGTTAAAATGGCAAATTTTGTTTTGTATATTTTATTATAACAAAAAAAGAGAGGGGTAGCATTACCCGGATGGTTGCCCCTGCCCAGAGAGGATGTTCAACCCTTGGCATTCTGGTGAAAACTGAACAGAACAGAGGGCTCCTTCTCTGAGCAGGCTGCCCACCTTCCCTGTCCCTACCCCACTCTTGCCTCCTCCTCCAAGTCCTCCCACCAAACCAGAAGCTCCCACCTCTGCAGGCCCTGAGGGTATGTCTTACCAGTGGCTGTAGCAGAGAATGCCAGGAGCAGACAGGCCACGCAGACCAGGACCCCAGACCTGGTTCTTACCACTGTGCCCATGCTTCTTATTCACACTCAACTGTGGGCAGAAGTGGTAGAATGTGGAACAATGTCCCTGCCCTTTGGCACAGCCAATCTCTAAACAGTTGCTGGGAAAGCCTCAGCACACCACTCCCACCTGACTGGAGTCTACCAGCCAGGCTGGAGGATGAGGGACGTGGGGCTGGGAGACCAGCCCTGCCAGCAGGTGTGGTGATAGGACAGCCCTAGGCAAGGGAAGGTGCTCTGCAACCCTGGGTTCAAGTTCCAGCTCTCCCGACACCAAGACTTCCAGGAAACTTTGGACACTCACTGCCAGGCACACATATCACCTACCTGAGGGAGTAGTGGACATGACCCTGGTGCCAGTCCTGCTCTGAGTGAGCCAGCTCACCGGGGTAGGGGCCACTGTCTGCTGGAGGGGCACCTGAGCTCTGCCACAGGGTAGGGGGAACTGGGGTTGATGCCCCCTTTCTTTAAAAAAAAAAAAAGTATTTATTTGTTTTTGGTTGCATCAGGTCTTTGTTGTGAAAGCAAGATCTCCTGGCTCAGGAGTTGGGGTGCTCAGGCTTAGATCCCTGGAGGTATGTGGGATCTTAGTTTCCTGACCAGGGATTGAACCCCTCATCTCCCGCATTGGAAGGCAGACTCTTAACCACTAGACCACCAGGGAAGTCCCTTTTTTTTCTTTTTAAATCGAGTCTTCCCTTGTAGCTCAGTTGGTAAAGAATCTGCCTGCAAGGCAGGGGACCCAGGTTTGGCTCCTGGTTGGGAACATACACTGGAGAAGGAAATGGCAACCCACTCCACTATTCTTGCCTGGAGAATCCCAAGGACAGAGGAGCCTGGTGGGCTGCAGTTTATGGGGTCTCAAGAGTTGGACACGACTTAGCGACTAAACCACCACCAAATTCACATTACAATGAACCATTATAAAGTATACAATGCAGTGGTATTTAGTATATTTGTGATTTTGGGCCATCTCTCTAGTTACAAAATTCTTTCATTACCCCAGCAATATATCCTTTCCATTAAATAGTCACTCTCCATTCCCGCCCCTACCCCTCACCTTCCATGCCAATACCCCCACCCCCTGATGAGCTGATAACCATTAATCTACTCTCTGACTCCATAGACTTCCCTATTCTGGATGTATCACATTAAAGCAATCATATGATATGTGACATTTAGTGTCTGGCTTCTCTCCCTCAGCATGATGTTTTGGAGTTTTATCTAAGGTGTAGCACATATCAGTACTTACTTTTTATGATCAAATAATATTTCACTGTGGGTGCACCAAAATTTTTTCTATCCATTCATTCATTGAAGGGCATTTGGATTGTTTCCTCCTTTTGACTCTTACGAATTACACTGTTGTAAATATTTGTTTATGAGTTCCTGTGTGGTCCTATGTTTTCGTTTCTCTCGGCTGTAGAGCAAGGAATGGAACTGTTGGTCATATGGTAATTCTGTGTTTAATGTTTTGAAAAACAGACAAGGTCTTTTTCATGGTGGTTGAATGATGCCTTGGGCCTGAGCAGCCCTGCAAAGGGGCCTGTGGACTGAGGATCCCCAGGGTGTATGTTGGGGATAACTCTCAGGTAGGCTGACTCTCTGGAAGGAGCCTCACGTGACAGGGGTGGAGGCAGGGCATGACCCTCCACTGGACCTGAGACTCCTGGGTAGGGATGATGGAGAAAATGGGGCAGGAAGACTCCTTGTGACAACTCAAATCCTATATTCCACCCCCAGGGAGGACGTGACTTCAGAGCCAGACCTCCTGCACTGAGATCCTGGTTCTGCCAGGTGGCAGCTGTGTGACCTAGTACAAGTTACTTCACAGTTTCAGGCCTGGTTTTGTCATCCCTTAAACAGTGATGAAAAGAGGAGCCACCTCACAGGGTTAAAGTGAGGTTACAGTGCGAAAACGTGAGGTATGAAACCAGAGGCAAGGGGAGCCTGTTCTTGTGTCAGAGCAGGATGTCTGGCTCTCTGCTGGCTTGGGGGACCCCCACCCCATGGGGCGCAGTGTCAGGGCCCCAGTGACTGGCTGGGAGTGAGAGCTGGGGGTATGGGTGGAGAGTACAATGCACTGGCAGATATTTGCTAATTCAAACAGCTGAATGTGCTATTCATTGAGGGACAGGGTGAGGGTCATGCCTGGACTGGAAGCCAGATCCTCTCCTGGAGTTCCAGCTCACACCTCAAGTTGGAGAGCCTGAGGATCAAATTTCTCTCCTGCCAGAAACAACCAGGGCAGCTTCCTGAATCCTCTTTGGAAGTTTCCCTGGTGGGGCCATTCCCTCTCCCAGAATCCCAGGTACATGCAAGTGCTCATGAGAGAGAGACTGAGAAAGAGGAAGGGGGTGATGGAGGGAGGTAACCAGCCACAATGAGATACCACTACACATCTATCAAATTAATTGAATGTAAAAGACTGATAAGATGAGGTGCTGGTGAGGATCTGGAGTAATTGGAACTCACATATATGGCTGATGAGTATGCAAAAATGGTATAGTCAAGTTGGAAGGCAGTTTGACATTTTCTTTCCAAGTTAAGCATACATTTTCCATATGACTCAGTGAATCCACTGTTAGCTATTTGCATGCGTGCTAAGTTGCTTCAGTTGTATCCAACTCTTTGCAACCCTATGGATCAGACTATAGCCCTCTAGGCTCCTCTTTCCATGGGATTCTCCAGGCAAGAATACGAGAGTGGGTTACCATGCTCTCCTCCAGGGATTGAACCTGTGTCTCTTATGTCTCCTGCAGTGACAGGCGGGTTCTTTAATTGCTCATTCCACCTGGGAAGCCTAGCGATTTACTATTTATGAAATGAAAGCATATGTCCACGGACTTGTCTGAAAATGTTCATAGCAACTTTGTTGAAAATAGCCTAAAAATGCTCAGTCGCTTCTGTTGTGTCTGACTCTTTGGGACCCCATGGACTGTAGCCCACCAGGCTCTTCTGTCCATGGGATTCTCCAGGCAAGAATACTGGAGTGGGTTGCCATTCCCTTCTCCAGGGGATCTTCTTGACACAGGGATGGAACCCATGTCTCTTATGTCTCCTGCATTGGCAGGTGGGTTCTTTACTACTTGTGCCACCTGGGAAAAAATAGAAATCACTCAAATGTCCATCAGTGGATGAATAGGCAAAATGTGGCATGTCATATATGGAATCCTATTCAGCAAGAAAAGAGAAAAACTACTGGTTGAATCTCAAAAACATTATGCTAAGAGACAGAAGCTGGTAAAAAAAAAAATGAATTTATATGAATTTTTTTTAAATGCAAACTATAGCAACAGAAAGCAAGTTAGTAGTTGTGTGGAACCAGGTTCGGGGCAGTGCGAGGGTGCACAAAGGAACTTTTCTGAGCAATGGATGCATCCTAAAACTTGATGTGATGGTGGTTGTATGTCTTATACATTTATCCAAATTTATAAAACTATATACCCATTTCACATCTAAAATGGGTGAATTTGTATGTGAATAATTCCACAATAAAGCTGTTCAAAAAATCAGTTTACCTAAAACTAGTCCTGGGAGTCCACTTTTGGGAAGTATACTGTGCATATGCAGGACTGAAAAACAGAAGCATGCATGCCAACAGGTGCTTTCAGGACGCTGGGGAAGCGTTAGAACCGGGCAGTGTTCATTAGAGCGGCTTCCCTAGTGGCTCAGCGGTAAAGAATCTGCCTGCCAACACAGAGGTGTGGGTTCAATCCCTGGGTTGAGAAGATCCCCTGAAGAAGGAAATGGCAACCCACTCCAGTATTTTTGCTTGGGAAATCCCATCAGAGGAGCCTGGTGGGCTACAGTCCATGGGGTTGCAAAGAGTCGAACAAGACTTAGCAATTAACTAACAACAACAAAACAAAGTGTCCTTTAGAAGGAAGTCTCCTTTTTCAGAGGCAATGGCACCCCACTCCAGTACTCTTAGCTGGAAAATCCCATGGACGGGGGAGCCTGGTGGGCTGCATTCCATGGGGTCGCGAAGAGTCAGACACGACTGAGCGACTTCACTTTCACTTTTCACCTTCATGCATTGGAGAAGGAAATGGCAACCCACTCCATTGTTCTTGCCTGGAGAATCCCAAGGACGGCGGAGCCTGGTGGGCTGCTGTCTATGGGGTCACATAGAGTCGACACAACTGAAGTGACTTAGCAGCAGCAGCAGCTCCTTTCTCATCCAGAGTTGGTCATTGCAAGCTCAAGGGTGTACTTGTGTGCCATCTGGTGTCTATAGTGGGCAATGCATGAATCTCCATCCTTCAAGCCCAACTTCAGGGGCTCTGGTTGGGTTGAATACAGTGGGTAGAAAGAAGGGGGACATTTCTCCTGGGAAACCTGGTACTCAGAGGGTCAGAGGTAGGGAGTCCTGGATCTATGAGAAGAGGGATACAACCTCTTATTGATATAAAGAAAGTGCTTTGGTGGAACAGAGAGGCAGAATGAACATAATTGGTGCCTTTGCATATTGAGATGAAATATAAGATAGGGTTTTGTGGGGGGGCGTGGGGAGAGATGGCGAAAAGGAATTAAAAGTTTAAGGAGAATGAGGTCCATAGGAAAACTAATCATGTCGATGCCCACAGTGAGTTGGGGAATGCTCAGCAGAGGGGATGGTGGGGGTGGGGGTGGGGCGGCAGCAGGAGCAAGGAGGATTCTGAAAAGCAAAGGAGACCTCCCTGGATGAAGAGGCCATTGGGAGCCAACAGACAAGTCTCTTCTCCTAACATCCTAGATCTTCTGACCCCTCAGTCCTGCTTCCCGGAAATATCCCACAGATAAACCTCTTCATGGATGTGCTGCGATCCTGTAAAGTCTGGGCCCTACAATGTCTGCAGAATCACTGAGGATAAAGACAGGCTTTAGGAGACAGTGACTGAGGAACCCGCCCACTTCTCCTGGCCACTGTGCAGCTGGTCCAGGCTCCAGCAGCCCATGGACAAGCCCAATTCTGCTTCCTACAAAAAACGGAGTCAATCACTCCCATGGGACACTAAGTGAAAGAGAAG